AATACTGTTGTTGCTATAAATAAAAAATAAATATCTATGGATCTGAAAAAGATAGGCATGTCAGATTCCACTATAAAACTTTTCATAACAACCAGTGGATAAGTTTAATTTATTTTTTTATATAAATTATATGTTTTTTAAATAAATTTAGTGAATTTATGCAAAGGCTAAATATTTTTAAATTTTTAGTCAAAAGAAAGTGTATATTGCATCATTTAAATAAATTAAGTCTAAATAGGTTAAATATCTCGTAACGTCTAGCCATTTGAGAATTGATACCTCAGTTAAAAAAATGAAATTGACCTTCCACAATTAAATTTTTTAAGTTTCCATCCATTAATTAACAAATTTTACACTCTAGCTCTTACCTAGGCATGACGTCTCAAATGTATATAAACGGAGGGTCCTTGTAGATATAATAGATGGCAAAGGGACCCCATACATCAAATAAACGATACAGGGACTCAATCAATCAAATTTCCACAGTACAAGGATGATACTGTAATTAGCCCAGATAAATTATGCTTGGCTAAAATTGCCATGCAAGCAAAGAGGCCTCTGTAGAGGATACGTGCACCAGCCAATCAAAAGCACCAAAACACCCAACTCACCCTGCTTCTTCTTTTTCTTTAAAAAAGAAACAAACAAAATGCTTCCTTAATTTCAGACCAAAAACCGCGAACACGCAGAGAAATCAGTTCAATTCAACAGAATAGAAGAGAAGAGGAAGAAGGAAATACAGCAATAGCACTACTACTACTTGTGTCAAAATAATAAGATTCTTCTTGTATAAACGACGTCGAAACAATGCATTCTTTCGTATACAGAGCAAACGTGTTGCTAACGTTCGCCTTCACTATACTGGCGTTAATGTGTGTCATTGCCTCTTTCTCCGACAACTTCAATTTTCCTTCTCCTTCTGCCGAAATCCAGGTTTCTTTCTTATTCTGTTGATTTATTGTTGTTTGGTGGATCTAATTCCATCTTTGAAATCATGTTTGTTTTTTTTTTTTGCCATTCTATTTGGGGTTTTGTAGATAGTGAAATTCAATGGGTTTCAAAAGAAGCCACCCGGAAACGATGAGGTAATTCATTCTTTCTTTACCTTGTTTTTTGTTTTTTTAAAGAGTTTGAACTGTATAAATTGATGGGATTAACAATAATTTGTGCTTATTATTATTATTATTATTTAAATTTTTAAGTGGAATCTCTTATCAAAAAAGAGTTACTGTTGCTAAATATAAAAAGCTACGTGGATTTTCAAAAGGTGGATAAATTTGTTTATGAGCAGGTTTCAAATTCTAGGTTGAATGGATTTTTTTTTTGTTAAAGTTTAAAATTTGTTTTTATTTATTTGTTGAATTGGGTTTTTAGTATTTCTATGATATGTAGCTCAAGTGTATTTATTTATTTTTTGGTTAATATTGTAAGTATTGTTCTTAGAGGTTTGCATTCTCCTTACTGATTTGATCTTCTGTTTGTTAGTGTGCTCAGGTTTTGGTATGTCTGACTGATTCCAATAACTAAAGATACTGTCTTGGTTTTCACTTTCTGAAAAAACCCTAATGTCAAAAGATTCACTTAGGTAGATATTTCAAAAATTGAGTAGAACAATTTGGTCTCTCCCACATGCTGGTTAAGACTTGATTTTGCCTCTCACAATTGTTGACATTCATGAACATTGTAATTGCAAAATCTAAAAAAATAAAATTGTTTTCAGCTTATAAGATGGCCATGAATCTTTGTTGTTAAGGAACTTTAAATCTAAAAAAATAAAATTGTTTTAAGCTTATAAGATGACCTGGCCATGAATCTTTGTTGTTAAGGAACTTAGTCCCAAAGGCTTTTGATGTTAACTTTACGGTGTCCCAAACACCCCACAGACTTTTTTTTGGTTATCCTTTGTGTTTCCTTTATGGACATCCTGCTTTCAACCTGCATTTTTTGTCCTCTGTGTGTGTGAGAGAGATAGAGAGATTCAATATTTGGGTTAAATTATCCTTCTTGACTATAAAATCCCATGGAGGAAATTGCCAAATCAGTCTCATCAATGGTCAAAAGTCATACCTCGGAAATATTTCATGTATGTACTATCTACTTTGCTGAAATTGATCATAATATGCTAAATTTTGCAGAAAATTCTGATAGTATTAAAAATCATTCAATACAAAATTGAAGTAGTTTACAACTTGATACATGAACGTTTAGGTTAAAATGATATTAGAACAGAACTTCTGTAATCAGTGTTACATCTTTTAACTTATCAGCTTATATATTGGATTTGACCTATTACAATTCCGTCTTTTTTCTGCTTCAAGAAATTCATATCAAAAGTTGATCACTACTTTCATCATGCTAGAATTTTAGTTATTGGTTGAACAAGTGCCGAAAACATACACTAGGGGAGGTGGTGACCTTGTACCTATTAACCACTGAGTTAATATGCAATCAGCTTCTTGGCTTTTCTGTGGCTATGCATGTTTTTAAGATAGAAGGAATTTTGATTGAAATAACTTCGTATAGAGTGATGCTTGTAAGTTTGCAAGATGGTGGAATTTCTTCTTCCAGAAGACAGGCCTGCTTGATAATGTTGATATTTCTTTCTTCCCCGTTCATCTTAACTATTTTAAGATAATGTATGATGTCAAACCATCTTCCATTTTTTATGCATTAGTGTAGACACAGGCACTTTATTCTGGACTACTTGATAAGCTAGCAATAATTCAACACTGATTGAACTGCCCATCATTTAATGCAGGTCAGCCTGACCATGAATATAACAGCTGATTTACAGTCACTGTTTACATGGAACACAAAGCAGGTATGAAATTTGAAATAGGAGTATATTTGTTTTTCCTCAGTGATAGGTGTTATGGTCTTTTCATATCAGAGCTGTAAATATTTAACCCTCATGCCAAGGCAAGCCATCTGATTGTTTCATGAGTGTAATCCGATTAGTGAGTACATTTCATTTACTGAACCAATCGCTCTCTATTATAGTTTTCATGTTCTGACACATTGAGTTTTGGATGCCCTATGAAAATTTGGAAATCCAATGTAAAACTTCTTATGTTACATAGTTGGGACATTGCTGGGATGAATGACTTGAATTTTAAACTGACTTGTTTACAATTAAAAAACCAAATCTTTTTTATGCCGTGGTCATGTGCACGAGGGATTTTGAATTGATGGGGCACCTAAATGTATTGATATCGTTCAATGCTTATTCGAGTATATAATGATCACATAATAGCCAATCCAAACATGTAATAATAATGAACTTGTCATTTATTGCAGCTTTTCATATTTGTAGCAGCTGAGTATGAAACTCCCCAGAATTCATTGAACCAGGTACTCTAGGTGCTTGAAATTAGAAGTATGTTCTTTTCCATTTTGGCTCTCATCTTTCACACGTTGAACTTTAATTTTTAAAAATTTACGAGGCGTGCTTGGAGCTGAATCAGTTTCCCTTTCCATTTTCCCTGATACATGTGCAGGCACTAGACAAGCCTCTTGAGGCATCTGTATTTCATGTCCTCAAATGTCAGGGTCTACTGCATAAGAATGTGTTCACTACTTAAATGTTTTTGAATGTCTTGTGATAGGTGTCACTTTGGGACGCTATTATACCTGCCAAAGAGCATGCAAAGTTTTGGGTCCAGACCAAGAACAAGTACCGTTTTGTTGATCAGGTACCATCCGTATGGAGTGATTTCTTTTCATTTCATTGGGCATTCACACCCACGAGCCACCTCATGTGCTGCTACTGCTATGTTTCAGAACTAAACATTATTTTTCCTTGTGCAGGGAAGCAATCTTCGCGGTAAAGAATTCAATCTAACGTTGCACTGGCATGTGATGCCTAAGACTGGCAAGATGTTTGCTGACAAACTAGTCTTGTCTGGATTCCGCTTACCTGAGGAGCATAGGCGAGGATAGGGCATCTTTGGAGTATGTTTTTGCTTTAACTAGCCATTATATGGGATGATAAAGGTCAGCTAAATTAAGAAAACAACAGACGGGGAAAAAGTTTCATGACTGAGGTATGAGGTGGGAATGGGGACGGCAGAGAAATTTGAGCGCTTAGGTTTATATTTTGGTCGTGTTGGATTCTGTCTTTGGTTTTGGGTGTTTCCTTCTCCACTTCTGTTAAGGGCGCCATAAAACCCCATAATCTCTGTGAGCTGTAGGAGATCGCCAATCAATAATTTTGTTTAAAGAATCTAGAGACCTGTGAATGCATTGCTGAAATGGAATACATGCTAACATTTCTAATTGATCAAACGAGTTGAACAACCAGAAATCAAAATCCAAAATGGGAAGGCTTGAAGCCTAATTACCACCTGCTAGCTGAGAATTCCACCGCTAAATCAATCTCTCTCACTTTGTGCTCGTCTTTATTTTGCCTGCTAAATATAATTTGACATTTGAGGTCTTTTTTTTTCTCCTTAAAAACACCTGTTTGTTCTCGTTTCACCCTTTCATCAGTTCAATAAATTCTCTTAACCATGGCCAATTATTTTAGAATGTGGGGACATTTTACAAAAGCAGTGGTCTTTTGGGCTTTACCAATCTTCCATCAGATGATATTTAGCCCCAGTTCTTCATTTCGTATATATCTAATTTTATTTCTCAAATCAATTTTGATTTGGAATCTACCTATAATAATAATAAGCATGAGTGTTGAAATTGAGACAGGAGATGGAGATCTATTTTGAAGTCTTATAGTGTTTTTTGTTTAAAAGTATATTAAAATAATATTTTTTATATATTTTTGTAATTTTAGATATTAACATGTGATAAAAAAAATATTAATTTAAAACTTTTAAAAAAATTCAATTTTTTTTCAAAATACAATTTAACCGTACTCACAATCAACCCAAAGACTTCAACGCATATGTCCAAATTGTTTTCTTCAAAGGGCTTACAATCCAATTCCATTGTAAAAAGCTGGAGTCCTCCAGCTTTGCAAGTTACAAATATCAACCAATTACCAATTAGTGCAATAAACAAAACTAATTCTCATATTTATTTACTTGGCTTCAAGCGAAAATTACAACACATGACTTTCCTTGTTGATTTACATAGCTCGATAGGGCCTCAAAATTGAGTTACATGTGGAGTTAGCTCATGCATTTCCATGTCATTTCTTCTATTTTCCTATCTATAAGAGTGCTACGAAGCAATTCTGACATGCATGGAATATTCACAATGAATAGATTCAAATAAATATAACGTAACAAGGAATGAAATCAGAAATTTATACGAGCCTTGGGATTTCCAAGGTTGATTATGCCTGGAAAAGGTGTAGGCACGAGATACCATAAACAAGCACTGCAGTTACGTGCAGACCCCTTGGCAATAATTAAACAAGTCAGATAATGATGCACAGATGCATATACAGATGAAGTTGACAGAGAGGATACTCACAGATGAAGCCTTTGCACTTGGCAGTATATACTGAAAAACATCAGCGCTTTGTTCCTTGGTCTGATAATCTCCACGACTAGTATTTTTGTGAGTGGCTAGATCGTCATCATCATTAGAATAATTAGATAGAAGGTTGAGACCATATAAGCAGAAAAAACACCGATCCAAAGCATTATCAATTAGTAACTCAAGTTCCTCCCTTTCATCTTCATTAAGTTCATCGATACATTGTATCGGCTTGTCTCCTTTGTTCTTATCCTCATCACCGCTTCCGCATTCTACACTTGCACCGTCGTTCTCTAGTCCTGCAGGAGATGATATAACTACGTAAGAAATTCCCTCCAAAACCATCATTCGCAGGAGCACTTATTTCATCCATTTCAGCTGCACCCATCTCCACTCCCAATGTATTTGATATTGGCTCAACTTTAGATGTTTTGTTCCGGCAATAATGCTCTTCATCATGTTGAATTGCTTCAATGTTGGAAGAGTTTCAGTTGGATTTAAGCTTCATGTCCAAAGGCAAGAGATGATGTTCCTTCCTCCCTTCGCCACCCTCACCAGCACAGCAGAGACCATGCTCAGCAAGTCATGGATTGCAACAATCAATTCAACCTAGGATTGAAAGTAAGAAATTCAAGAAAAATCTATGAGAAGAATGAAAACGAGAATGATTAATGATGCACTCACATCCAATGTTTCTCATTTTTCATTAACAAGTACAGCTTGGTTTTTAACAGGAATTGTAAGGAGATGTTGAAGCTTGCAGAACGCAATGCCTGCGTAAACAAAGCTTCCAGAAAATCAACTTTGCTTTTCTTCCATTTCATCAGCAATCAATCGGCTCAGAAGATTTCTTAGGGAAGTAATTTGCAACATGGCACATGACTGCCAGCAACATAAGTCCTGAATATCGCCGATGCTGCCAGTGGGAATGATTTTGCAGTGCTTCAAGCACTAGATGTAACAATGGAAAGAATGATGATCATGCAACAGGCAGAACCCAAAAGGAGAGAAATACTCAAAATAACAGAATCATATGATTACGCCTTAACTAGAGATGGTGACCCGAACCCGATAAATACTGATCCAAACCGACATGAGCGAGTAAGATTTTTTTTCCCTTGTTCAGGTTAGGGATGGGTTCGGTACTACCCGACCCGAAATACATAAAAAAAAAAAAACCTTAAAATTTAAGACTTACATTTTATACCAAGAGATTTTTATGTTGAAAATTTAGGTTTCAAGTCTGCTCCAGCCTTCACCAGTCACCCGTCTCTCGCTCTCTGCCTCTTCCTCTCACTCTCTTCTCCAATCTCCACATCTTCGGCCAGCAGATGTCGGCAGCAACACTAGCAGGCAGCAGCTGAGTTATTTTGTCTCCCCGAAGATGCTAAAAGTCCTGTGAGTTCCATTGAACAAATTTCGTGCTTGATATGGCTTGAAGAGTTCTCATGCTTGATATGGCTGCTTGTTTTACATTAGTTCTTTACTCACACTTGTTTTGGAAGCTGGTTTTGCATTCTGCAAAAGATTGGTGGTTGTGACTGCCTTTAAAAAAAAAACAATTATGATTGTATATTTAGTTTATTATCAGTATAAATTTGTTCTGGCTTGGATATAGTTTTTCGCTCGATTGGTAAGTATTTGCTCGGTGCTGAACTGCTGATTTTATGTTTTTGTTAGGTTTTGCAATATCCTTATTTTTTGTGCTTAATATTGTATCGAAGTTTTGGAGGTCGGGTAAGGATGTCCAATGGATATCCAAAACCTAATCGGGTCGGTTTCATTAATACCCAATAGGTTCGGCTGAAAAAACCTAACGTAGTTGCTAACCATTGCCATTCCTAGGGCGAAATGATATTACCATTATGGTCTTAATAATAAGACTACTAAAACAATTGTGGTTTATTCTTCATTATACACCGTTTAGTTCCTTTCCACTCTATTGCCGACCCAATTGATGGATTCAACTCTCCATCTTCTATAGATTGCTGGCTTCAATTCCTTAATGCCATGCTTTCACATCTGCTGCTTGTGCTCTGCATTGTTGGGTTTAGTCGCAGCATCAACAGCAGCCCAGGTTTCGGAAATGGAGGAGGAGACGACAGGAAGGTTTTGATTGTAGGGGAGGAATTGTGGAAGCAAACTATTCCTTTGCAACTGGGTTCTCGAGTTTACGAGCTGCAAGGGCTTAAATCACATACTTGGTATGAAGTGAAGATATCGTATCCAGCTTCTGTATGTATATTTTCCTTTTCTTTTTGGTTGGTTTTTTTCATGATTCTGATTGTGAGTCGTTGATTTCCAATTTGTTGAATAATAGATACCTGCTAGCTTTACTATCCAATTGAAGAAAGATGATTCTGACCCCGGAATGAACCGGGTTGCAAGAAGATTGTTAAATACTGAGAAACTGATTTTCAAGACTGATGTTATTCTTGATAGCAATCAGGTTGGTTGGTTTTTCTAATACATTTTTTCACTCTTACATCATGATCTGATTAGGAGAGTTGCTTTTCTTCTTCTTTTTTTCTTTTTTTCATGCAGAGTAAATTGTGTGTTTTGGTGAGGGTGGAGCCAGAGGGGGTAGTGGCAATACCAAATGTAGAGGAGAGGAAAGACATCACATTCAACATAGGTAAGGCAAATTAGATTCATGTAATCTGCATAATGATAAAATTCTCTATTTTGAGTGTTTGTTTTTGCTCTTTGCAATTTGAATATGAGTGGCACTGCTGCATGTTCACTGCATTTTCATAGAAGTCAAAATTGAATATGAGTGGCACTGCATGTTCACTGCATTTTCATAGAAGTCCGCTTCATATAACAACTCCTGGAATTATTGTCTATTGTCGCTTTGGAATTTCGTTAAGCTAACCAGTTTCTCATTTGTTAGTTTCTTCATTTATAATTGATGATTGTGACCCTTTTTTAAGTTAACATGGATTCTTGTTATTTTTTCCACCTTTCTTGTCAATCTATCTATCTTGCCAATCTTGGGGTTTCATTTGTGACATTTATTAGGCAACCGTTATATTTGCAGTGGTGGTAGTGTCACTTTATGTGTCATTTCAATCTGCAAACCTTTTTTGTGATATCGCTTTAAGGAAGCAAGTTCACATTGCATTTTGCTAATGCCACCAGCATAACAATATTGATTTCTGATGAAGTCATAAAAAACTTAAGATATAAATTGGGCTTTTCATGGCTGTGTTTTGGGCTGGTGACTGGTTTTGAATATAGGTTTTTACCTCTGATTTGGGTTGTACCTGAAAAACAAATCCTCTTTGGATATAGGACACTCCGATGCTTAAGTGTAAGTGTAGTTGTCCTTGATGCTTAAGTTAGCAGGTGTAGAAGAAGAAGTAATGTATGAGAGAACTGAGAGAATGTATGTGTTCTTAACTTGTTCAAGAATGAATTGTCCAATTTTTTTTCTATTTATCTATTGACCTAGGGTATTTAGAGATCTTGGTTACCTTACCTCATAAGGCGAGCATGGAGACTGGTGTTATCATTACCTTAGGGTGAATGGAGTTGCAGTACAATTGATTGGTTGTAGACAGAATGTAGTGTCTGACTTTGTCATTGATGGAGAGATTGGTAATTGTCGGTGCCATATGAGCAGGAAATAACCATTGGTGAGAGAGGAGGTACATGCTCTGCATGGAACATGTTGTGTGCACGCTGCTGCATTCTGACTTCTCAAAACTCGAAAATATGTTGAGGTGTATGCCTGAGTTCAGTATTGGATAGCCTGTGTGGTGAGAAAGGGTGAGAGGGGGGGAGAAGGTGTGTGAGAAGAGAGGGAGAGAGAGAATGTGGGTGAGAGAAAATGTGTGGGAGAGAGGGGGTGAGAGAGGAGAGAGAGGGAGGGAGGGAGGGAGGAGAGAATAGTCGTTCAGGCCAGGAAATCCTCGCACAACCAGGAATTTAATAATATTTTTTAAAAAAATTCCTGTACCATCAACTTCTTAGGGCCTCCTGAACAGACCTAAGTTGATTTGTTATTCATAACAGTTTTAATTTGTTCCAAGATAAGCAATTTTGAGTGATATTTGGAGTTGGTTTGAAATTGCTAGATTTCTTCTAAGACAACTTGTTATCCTTGGGTTTCATTGGCTTTCTTTACTTCGTTGTTGTATCTTTTCACAAGATGTCAACAAGCTTCTCTTTTTACAATAGCAGCTTCGTTGTTTCATTTTCTATTTCCATTGCTATCCGGACGTGTTACCCATTGGTTAACTGAGATTGTGCTTTTTTCATCGCAAGAATTGTTGGGTGTAATGTTTCTTGATTCCTAATGTTGCCATACAGCCAAGGTATCCTTTACAGATACTGCATGAAATTTGTGATGTTTCATCGCTCTATATTGTGAAGATTATGTTTCAGCCATAATGCTTATGATCTCACTATTTCACGTATAAAGACATGTTACTTATTACACCGACCAATGACTCTTTTATCTATCCTTTCCATATTCTTAATATTTCTTTTGTATGACAGTTTGTGATGAACTATTATTGGGAATCCCACACAAGGCTTGGTGGGTAGTAGCCTTGGTAGTGCTCTGTTTGGGAGTGGCTTTCATCATTCCTCATTTTCTTCCATCGTGTCTACTGCTGAGGGATAGAAGGCGAGAAACATTGAATCAGAGAGTTTCCAAAGAATCTTGATTTCAGAATCATTACCTGTGTTACGTTTTGCCATAGGTAACAGATGTCCTCTAGTGGCGTGTTCACTGCTTTTGATGTAAAAGTGTCATGTCATTTGCTTGTTTTTGGTCAATAGGAATAGGAGATTAACATGTCATGCATGACCTTGTTGTGTAGTTTTACTCTTGATGTTTTTATTAGTCGGCCAGTAATAGTTTGAGCAGACTATCTCCCCCGTAAATCCTATTTGTTGTTGGAAGTTTAGCATGATCTCTGGTACTGTCCTCTTGAATACTTCAATTCGTTTCATTGGAGTTCTGATGCATCTGTGAGGTTCCTTGGGGAAATTTTGATTGAATGTCAAGAACTTTCCGCAATGTACATGCCTCCTCGCAACCATGAAGCATATAATGCTCACAGGACGCTCCTCCAGCAAGGTGGTCAGTAATTTCTCCTGCTTTTGCATTTGCAATGGACAGAGCACTTTGTTCTTGCTTCCGTTAGTCTCCTTTTCTTTCAGGAAACATTCGGCCTCCATTAGATGACTTTTCTTTTATGACTTCTCATGTTTTTGAAACTGGTGAAGCATTTGAACGTTGTCATCCGTTTGTCAGGTTGGAGATGGGGATAAAAAAGAATTTAGTTAAAACTTCAAGTTGTAGGCATTTTGGCAAAATGCTTACAACTTGCAGTTTTAAATCATGGTATTTTTTTAAGCAAATGACTATTCTCGAGACTAGTTGGTGCAGTCTTCCTTTGGGTATAGCAACCCAAAATGTTCATAGAGAGACGGTCTGTGGTTTGACGCAGAATGGTCATTCTATAGCAATGCAGAAAGACGCCAGTTTGATCTCTCGTTATTTTAGGCCCAAGAGGCTGCCACCCAACGTGGGTTTTCGCTTTTGTACACAGATTGGGAAAAAAGAAAAAGAAAAAAGAGAGCAAGATCTACACGATGCAGAATGTTTTTTAGATAAAACTTGATTATTTCCTGTTATTACAAACATAAGTGAGATTTATTGACGCACCAAAATCATGAGCTGCAAATTAAAAGACGGGAGCGTTACAACAACGTAATAAGAAACTGACAACCAAATCACATTAACCCGGGCAAACGTACACCTCTTTAAATTAATTAAGAAGTTTGAGCGTGACTAGATTCTTGAACCTTCTGTCGCACATTCTGACCAGACTCTTTAGCTCTATCCTTCATATCCTTGGCCGTTTCTGATATCCTCCCTCTAGCATAATCCAGCTTATCAGCACCAGGTGGATGCTTACCAGTCACATAGTTATATATCCACAGCGATACCATGATAGCAGCCAAGCCACACCCACTTGAGAAAAAGAACCCAGAAGTGACCAGGAAAACTACAATCACTGCCGGGACTAAAATTGGACTGGACAGCACCAGAACTGGTGTGGCCACGACCAAGGCTATAACTGTCCCAGTCAAAGTTAACCCGGACAACACCAACAGTGCTGCACCTATTGTCCCTGCAGTCATAAACTTCACCGCCTTGCGTGAAATTGGTTGTCCTGAAGATGGCTCGTACCTCGACATGGGCCTCGATCGATCAGGCATGACTTCCTTTCGTGAGCAACACACACAGCGGTGACTGGGAAAATAAGAGCATGCGTTTTCCCCCCTTATTGTGATGATGTTATGTTGGGTGTCGGGTATTATAGGGAGCAGAGATAAGGAACGTGGCAGGGTGTGAAGGTGTATCACCTCGTGAAGTGTACTAAAGGGTAAGGTGATGCATTGAAGATGGTGCGGGGATGGAAGGCGGTCCGAGGTGGTGTGGAGTGGATAGCCTCGTGGCGTTTGTTCGGGGAACGGGCAGCTTTGCATGTAATGTGAAATGCAAGAATGCCTGACACGTCTCAGAGGGAGGGGCTCTGTATTGAAGTTTTTGAGGAGTCCAGACTGGCCCATGGACTTTCAGCTGTCCAGTATTTTATTTGGAGTTGTATTGATTTATCCAATAGCCTAGCAGCTAAACAGCCCATCCCCAGCCCGTACATTACATTAATTTAAATTAATTATAAACATAATTGAAATAAACGTGAGAAATTATAGTTTATAAGCATCAGTGTATATGATTTTATCATGGCTTCCTCCTCCTATTATTATTATTATTATTCACAAATTCAAGTTTTATTATTATTATTATTATGAAGGTTATTATATTGATTTAATTAAATCACGAAACAATCATGTGATGTATTTGCTTCATCTATTTATAATAAAATTTCTTCACCATAAAGAAAACATATGAACCATAGCACACACATAAGAGTACACATATACTCGTATAGAATTATGAGTTTCATTTCCATCAGTATTAATTAAACAATTAAAATAATAGGGGTGTTTTTAAGTCAACATCATTGCTTATAAACAGTGAAGTGGCTCTCTCTTTTTTTTTCATTTTTAATTTTTTTTCATTTTTGTGTTGGACTTTTTTTTTATTTGATCTTTTTGTGGTTAAATTTCATGAGTTAAAATTTTAGAATGTAGTAAAAGGAACAAAATTAAAAGACGGGTGGGGGTGGGGGGAGGGGGGGGTTGCAAAATATAAAATATGAAGAAAATATATGGTGGAAACTTGTTTAAAATTTTTTATTTTAGTCTAAAAGTTTATTTTATTTATTTTTGGTCTATGAGTTTGAGAAATGAGAAAAAAATTATTAATTAATGAAAAAAATAGAAAAAATTATTGATTGACCACATCTTCATCACCAAAAAAAAAAAAAATTTATTTCAATAGGTTATTCTCTTCGAGAGAAATTCAATAGACATAAGTTTTCTCTCTACATATTATAGAAAAAATAGTTTGATTTTTGTTTAATTTATTTTAATTCAGTTGGTTTTTATTTTTCAAGAGTATTTTAAGATTGTTAAGTGTTTTATGTATATTGCATGTCCTTGAAAGTGGATTTTAATTCTTCTTTTTTTATTTTTAAAGGAATGAAAATGGCTTGCATGTCCTTGAAAGTGGATTTTTTATAGCTTACATTTAGGGATATTTTTTTATTTATACTTGGATTGTTTGTTATTATCATGTTGTTTTAAGGAAACTTTTGTAACTTAATATATATAAATATTATTTAAAAATATTGATGATACATGCAAGGTACCAAAGGCAGCCTCCGCGGCAACATTTGACTATAAAAATGTCATTATAGCAGCCATGACACACCTCCCTGAAAAAACGAAGCCAGTGATGATGAAAAACATGGCTATACCAGCTGAGACTAGGGTCTGTTTTGCAGTTTATAGCAAAACCCAAAAAAAAAACCTTGCTTATAAATTACTCACTCAAGGACAAATTTATAAACCAAAATTTGGCAGACAAAATTGAGCCATTCAAAAGTTCTCTCTTCACAAATTTTTAGTTTATAGTTTTTAGTTTTTAAAAACTTATTTTTCAACTTGTTTATAAAAAACACTTCAGAAATAAAATCTTAATAAACTAAATTCTAAATTTAAAACACTCCAAAATCATTTTAAAAATAAAAATAAACAAATAAAAAAAACCTAAATGGGCGGATTGATGGAAAACACCATTTCCTTTTATGAATACGAATCATTGACACAAAAGTAATAACTTTTAATTAAACCAACGTAATTTTCAAACGAAAATTAATTAAGTTCACAATTACCCTGTTAGAAGCTTTCAACACTCCTGTTATTATACACAATCAGTTGGCTTTTGAAAAAGGATGCCCCAAAACGCAGGTATTTTTTTGCCCTCACAGTGGAACCCATAAAATACTATGCCGCCAGTCCGTCCAAGGGATTTTTAGTGCTAACTCACGTCTTATTCTCCACTTAACCTTTTGAAAAAGCCCAATCACACGTACAGCTCACATGTCAGTAACCATGAATGTCACTGCTCTGTCACATTACACTGTCCGCTTTCCAAGGCCCAATCCAAGCCAACGCTCCTCTAAGTAAAAAAAAGTCAAAATAATTTGAAAAGGGAAAATAAGAGGGATTGGTCCCACGTACCAATTCGACCGTTGCAAAAAAAGTTGTTCTTAGGAACCCCCCATTTTCTTCTCCGTCTCTCATCGATCTCGCAATATCTCACTCTTTCTTGAAAAAACTCTTCTCTCTCTTCCTCTCTCTAAAAATACTTCTTAATGGCGATTGCTTCAGAGACCCAACCCCAAGAGAAGGTAATTTCTTGTAAAAGGTCGTGACTAGTTTAACTTGATTTCAAAATCTAGGGTTTTTGTTCTCTCATCTTGTAAAGGAACCGGTTCTCTTCCTTAATTTCTCTTTTATAGATCGAAATTGAATATTTTCGTTAGTTTATATTTAGGGTTTTGAATTGTGGGTTTTTTTAATTTTGGTACAGGCCAGTACGGAGGTATCAGGAGAAGAGAAGAAGAGATGGACGCTAAATGATTTTGATATAGGAAAGCCACTTGGACGTGGAAAGTTCGGTCATGTTTACTTAGCCAGAGAAAAAAGGGTGAGTTTTTCAGTTTCATTGATGATAAAAACCCTTTATTTTTATACAATTAAATTCGAAATCTGTGCTTGTTATTGTTCATAAATTGGAGCTTATATGTGAATTTATTTGGGTTCTCGTGTTAAAATGAATTTTTAATTTTTAGGTTTTTTGATTTTGGGGTTACCTTAGAAAATTTAAGGAAACTAGCAGGATTTTGTTTTAACTGATCAGTGTACAATCAATTGATCTTTTAATGTTTGTTGCTGGTTCAGAGCAATCATATTGTGGCTTTGAAGGTTCTGTTTAAGAGTCAGTTGCAGCAATCACAGGTTGAACATCAGCTCCGTCGCGAAGTTGAAATTCAAAGTCATCTTAGGCATCCGAATATATTGCGCCTTTATGGTTACTTTTACGATCAGGTGTGTTTCTTACGATCCTCGTTTGATTTTTTGAAAGTGTTTGGTAAATTTGACTGATTAGTGTTTTTTCTACCTGAAATTGTGGCAGAAACGAGTTTATTTGATATTAGAATATGCAGCCAAAGGTGAACTCTACAAAGAATTGCAAAAGTGTAAATACTTCAGCGAAAGACGTGCTGCTACTGTGAGTTATTTTTAAGCCGTCTCTTTCAATTATCTTCAGTTTACTTGTCCTGCTGTTAATACCCTGGTGCCAGCATGTTTTACCTTCAGTTAATTTGCTTCAAACCATGATTTTTCCTTGAACTTCCTATTTGAGGCACGAAAATTACATTTTGCACTGTTATGTCTGATCATGCGAATACTGGGTAGTTATGTTGGGTGTGGATTTGTTAAATGTGGCAGTATGTTGCGTCATTAGCCCGGGCACTGATTTATTGTCACGGCAAGCATGTAATACACAGAGACATCAAGCCAGAGAACCTGTTAATAGGTGCACAGGTGATATGACAGCTATTCTTGATAGAATTTCCGATATCTATTAGATGATTGATTGAAATATATGTGCTCATAAACAAAGTTAACATTGATTTCTGTTGTCAGGGTGAGCTCAAGATTGCAGATTTTGGTTGGTCAGTGCACACTTTTAACCGCAGGCAGACAATGTGTGGTACATTGGACTACCTCCCACCAGAGATGGGTATGTATGTAAGCCATTGGATTTAAAGGCCAAAGGAGCTTCCTGTTTTTATTCTTGGATTTGTATTGTGGTCACTTGTATGGTTTGATTTGAGTGAAGCCATTCATATACCATTTGATTATGTGAAGGAAATGGTTTTTGAATAATCTTGAAACAGCTCTTCCAAAGCAATAACTTGATCTGATTCCATTGAAAAATAATTGTTACGGTATTCTGTTTTTTTTTTTTTAATTGGTATTCTGTTGATGGTGCAGTGGAAAGTGTAGAGCATGATGCGAGTGTTGATATATGGAGCCTGGGTGTTTTGTGCTATGAATTTTTATATGGTGTTCCTCCATTTGAGGCCAAGGAACACTCAGACACATATAGAAGGTAAGCATGAATTGGAGAAATGAAAGAAAATGAAGAAAACTGCAAAATATTCCTTCGTTCAGAATACATAAATACTTGTCCAATTTAAAGGCAATGAAGGGTCCTAAATGCTTCTCATTTTTTATATTGATCACTTGCTAATTGCATTTCTCATATTGTTCTCTCATCAAGAGTCTCTTGCTTCTGTGCTATAAACAAGTATCAAGAATAAAATGATTTGTTGAAACCTTTGCTATTGAATTTATTTCAATTTTACTTCTTTTTTTGTGGCATTATTTAGAGCAAACTTGTAATCCTCGTTTTACTCTGTTGCTGATACCTGTTACTTTATCAATAGGATTGTGCAAGTGGATCTAAAGTTCCCTCCAAAACCAATTGTCTCTTCTGCAGCAAAGGACCTTATTAGTCAGGTGAAAAATCATTTCTTGCTTTTTAACCCACAGTGGTTGCTGCATCTTCCATGGTAGAACTTAATTTGAATCTCGAACATTATAAATTAACTACCCAAAATACATTGGAGATGGGATTGAAAGCTGTGATTATATTACTTGCATGGAATTAAAAACTGTGTTTAGACCTTGCTAGCAGAAGTAATTAACAATGCAGAAAATAATATTATGTTATCACTTTTGGAAGGATCTGTACTCATTCTCTTTTGTATTTTTCTTCCCTCTTCGAACAATAGATGCTTGTAAAGGATTCTGCAGAGCGCCTACCGTTACATAAGCTACTTGATCATCCCTGGATTGTTCAAAATGCTGATCCCTCTGGCATCTTTAGGGGTTGATTTGTCTTTCTCTAGATGCCTTACTGTTTCAAGGACCAATGGTGCAAGATTATAGAGAAGAACGCAAAGAACCTCTAGGCGAGAGGTCTGTGTGAATTTGTGAAGAACCGGATCATTGTAACTTTTTCTTGTAAGAGTTCATTGCTCATGTTGTCTCCAAGCTCCTTAGAACATAAAAACTAATGGTTTGTTGGATCTATTTCAATTCAATTTTATGTTAATATAGCGGCACGTTCTCTTCTTTCTAGATCTTCCATTCTTTCCATTTCCAGTTCCAACAAATTCACACAAGTTCATAAGCTCTATAGAACATTCTCTTCTTTCTATCTTCCATTCCTTCCATTTCCGGTTCCAACACTGCACTTTCTAAATTACAGCAATTCTTTTTTTGTGACATGTACAGCACAATTTTTTTAGAACAGTATTTAGTAGTGCGGCTTTGCGGGGAAGAGAACGCAAAAGGATAAAACAAAAACAAAATATTGTAACTTTTTAACCATGCCTGTTTCTGATTTCAACAGCATGAAACAGTACTGCAACTTCATAGGCAATTGCTCTTTTGCGAACTGTTAACACAGCTTTCTATTCACAGAATGTGCCAAAAGCAACGAGACTTATTTATTTATTCTTCTGTTGGGGGATGACTAGGACCTGATATGCCAAATTAACTTACCAAGCCGCATATATAATCATGTAAATAAATCATATTAGATAAAAAATTTGTAAAAAATTATAAATCAACCAAAACAAAGGCTGCATCTGAGAAACAGAGCAGAAAGTGAAACTTCCCCCTTGAGCAAAATAATTTTCTCACTATTTTACGCTGTTAAAAAGTTTCTGCACGGGCCCGTGGCCACTGCTGAATATAAACATCGCAAACAGATATACAGCAAAGATAACTTGATTTAAAAATCTTAAGATTTGATCAGACATATATCCAGAGAAATTCCCACCAAGAGAACATGTTTAAGAAAAGATCCGCCCACACAACAAATAAATATTACGATGCAAATCCAAAGATAACAACTCCTGTGACCTGAGGTTTAGCTTGTATGATGTTGGTTGGAAGTGACTGATGGTGATATCATGCTAGGAATCTCTCAACATTAGTGATTGTTCTCACATCTGGCACCATCCAATAACTGGGTTGGAGGTTTGTACTGATTTTTCTTGCTTTCGGCAACAACTCTGGGGCTTATGAAGCTTGGTTGGTTAGTTGAAGAAAGGAGTCTTGCCCACATCCTGTCAGTAATCACAACCTGGTTCTGCCTCTCATTAATGCGCTGAAAACAAAAATGAATAAATAACTCCAACAGTAAGCATTGGTGTCAAAATCAACATCTTTTCCAAAAGATATCCCATCACAGATAGAAGTTGATCAAAGTAAATGATGCAGAACAAAGGAGGAAAGAGCTGACACTTGCAGCTGTGATTGCAAGGCTTTGAATTTATGGTAGTAGTCAAGAGGCAGAGGCTAACAATGTAAAATTTCCAGTCAGTGTCAAGTTAGTGGGCTTCTGACAAGAAAAAAACCAAAAATCTATAACAGCTGATGATTTTTTCAGTTATTTCCACAATATTAAGTATAATTGTTATTTTGGTACATAAAGGAATTTACCTCAAAAGGAATGTAAGAATGTTGACCATTGACAGGTCCGACTGTAAAGCCTGTATATCCAGCCATTGCTCCATGAACTGCACTTTGAGCAAGGAGGTAGCAGTAGACATTATCGGATGCATTACCTGGAACAGCACGAATCATGTATGTAGGATCTGCAAGATGGTTGGGTCAAAGTTATGACTTAGCACCTGAATTGAGTTATAGCATAAAAAAAATAAACAAAGAACGTTAATATAAGTCACGTACCTATATATTTGAGAGTGATGGTCATCTTCTGTACTCTTGCAAAATGATCCTGCACAGAAGTTTAAAAGAGGACAATAAATTAGCCAGTGGAGAAATTCCTATAAATCATAAAATTTGCAAAGAATGTTCATCATCAGAACTTCTCATCTGAGAGTACAAAAATGTATATGGTATTTGAAAATCAACACATTATGATGGCTCTATATCAAAGATATGAAGAGGCATTGAAATTCTAAGAGCTTGAGGTCATCATACCGTGGTATGTATAGATTTAAAATTCAATAAAAGAAGAGCTCTTACACACACAGAAAAAAATAAGTGAAATGTTTATGAAGCCATTCAGGAATAGAAGCAAATCATAAAGTAGACAACAACTATTAATTGACAAATTTCTATCTTTAGTATGTATAATATTTTAATCAAATGATCATCATGCTAAGCATTACTTTGAATGATTTTCTTGTAAAAGTACATATCATTTAAAAGACCTTTGCTAGGATTAAAAAGAAAAGATAAAAAAGGATTGCTTCATCAGCTGCATAAGAAAACGGGAAAAGTAAATTACTGATTGCTTAACAAGGCTAAGCTATTGTGATTTCATAAGATAGACATGAAATTGAAAGTCACCAAGAAATCACAAAAACAGGGATCGAAAGTGATAATAATATGAGATTATCTCTAAATTTTCTGTCAAGTATTACATTAATTTTATGAGATATCCATAACCCAACATCTTGAAGCAGATGGTTTCCTGAAGCATCTTGCTGGTTCATAGATTGCAAGTACTTTGCAAGAAGATCCTGTCCTGCTCCTTCAGCGACAACGATAACCATGTGTCCATTTTCTTTAAGTCGACGTTTAATGAATTCAAACAGTCCACCTTTTCCTTCAAGATAGAAGGGTGATTCAGGAATCAAACAGCAATCCACATCCCGGCTAGCAAGAGTTGCATGCATTGCAATGAAACCTGCATCCATAATTCCCAATAGAATGGAGAGATGGTAAAACAACACATGGAGAGGTCTAATGTGTGACATGGTTGCCAGAGATTGTATCTGTCTATGCCTCAACTTACCACTGTGGCGACCCATCAGCTTCACAATGCCAATGCCATTCTCAAAACTTCCAGCCTCAACATGGGCTGCATTAATTGCACGTTGAGCCTCCTCGACTGCAGTATCAAAACCAAAGGACCTGTCGATGACCTGAATCATAATAAGGACACTCAATGCAACATATTTCTCCAATACTTAATGTGGTTGTGCAGAAACATGACAGGAAAGAATTCAATGATATCACAACTAAAGATGTGTCAATGAAAGTACAGGAATGTCATTATCAATGGTCTTGGGAATTCCAGCAACTGCAACATTGAGGCCTCGTCTTCTAATTTCCTGAACATCAAGAAGCACTTTGTTCAAAATTTAGCAAACACATTAAGGTAATGATGTGTACAGTCAGATAATCAAAGGCATTGAGAGATGGAAATCAAATTGCGAAATGAAAAGCAATGTCACAGATGTACAAATGGTATGCCAGAATGTTAAAAAGATCTGTCAACACAGCCTAAGAACATTTCAGTAGGCATGGAGTCGCAGAGCTACATGTATATGAATTCAGAACCTCCTTTTATCCTGAAGCAGCAGTTTTTTGGGTCGGGCATGGAAAGAAATACATGATAGGGTGTCAAAATTGGAACCCGCCAACATTCTCAAAAAAAAAGAAAAAAAGAAAAAGCAACCTGCTAAGGATGGTAGCATTGAATTAATTGGTAAGATAATAAAGTAATTCCATCCAAGCTAAATCATCAAAAAACAATTGTATGCTGACAGTAGCTCAAAATCACTGAAGAATATGTTGACTGGAGGAGAAGAAAAAATTCAATGGAAAAGTGTGGCTCAACACACATTCAAGAATTCCTTATTATTCAAGCAGCCATAATAATTCCAACTATGTGCCCCATGTGTCTAATATATCATTTTCAGCTAGTGGTATGTTATGCTCCGTGGATCAAAGAAGTCATTGAACAAATCAACTGTTACACATAAAGCTTACCTCATATATCACTGCTGCTCCTTTTTGAGTTCCATCACCTCCAATTATATAAACCTGGACCACAAGAGGAGATGATCAGTGCCTTCACATGGAAAGTGTAGGCCTACACTACAGTGAAAAATGAAATTTAAATTAACAATGCACTCAAAAATTCATTTCTTTTGTTTGGCAACTTCAATCTACAAAGAAAGTCCCACTCAATACCAACCTGATTAATCCCCCGATCCTGAATACTGTCAACTATCTTTGATGTGTCATGACCACCTCTTGATGTCCCCAGGATTGTACCGCCACGTTTATGGATGTCATCAACTACCTTAGGAGTTAAATTAATGGTGTTCTTGGCATAGAAACCCCTGTAGCCTCCCTACAATGCGACACAACAGATTCATGCCGTTGAGCATGTGACATTACCAAATTTTGAAGGACAACATTTCAAACTTCGATACTCTCATTTTTTAATTCACCACCAATACATTCAAATTCTTACTTTGTAAACAAAAGAATTCTAACAAATATAGGAAAAACACCTGAATGCATGCTGTGCAGGAGAAAAATGCAAAAATTGGATTACAAAACTGTGTTTGTGTCAAAACCATGTTTAGGCGTCAAATATAATAGAAATCAATCACTCACATCAATCCCAAGGACCTTGGTGACACCATAAATATGGTAAAGGCCACACACAATTTCCCTGATCACTGTGTTGAGGCCAGGACATAAACCCCCACATGTTACTATACACGCGCGCACGTCACCCGACTTAAAATACACCTGAGCAGAACAACAAGCTCCTATCAGTGAGGGCATAAACACCATAAACACATGATTAATATCAGCGTTTCAACATATTCAGACAGCAATCTGTAAAGGGTAACCATACCTTTTGACGAGGTCCGGCACGTCGAAAGTGTGTCCCTCTTGGACTGTTGTTATGAACAACAATCTAAAAACCATTCATTACAATAAAAACATTAATAGCCAATAATCTTTATCAAAAGTTATAAACATCTAACAAAATGAAATCGACATTGACAGAGCAACTAACCTTTTGAGCAACAGTATCATCCACATCAACAAAGTACTGCCTGAAATCAAATCATTCCATTTTATTTATTGAAAAAAAAAACAGCAACTGATACAATAACCTTATACAACTAATACAATAACCTTAAGACAACAGCCGAATCATGATTCATGCCAACTATAAGTCAAATATATGCATATCAAAATTCTTACTCACTTGACTCCTGCGTAGGCTGGATTGTCTTGTAACTGATTTGGATACGTCTGCCACAAAAAAAAAATTGAAAAAGGAATGAAAATAGAGTTATTATTTATCACACAACGAAATTTATAAATTATGCAAAAGAAAAAAATCTCAACTATCAAAAACCTAAATAGTAAATCTCAAATTCATTTTACTGATTAAGCAAGCAAACACGATTGTTAAACAAAAGGAAAAGGAAGTGAAAGCTTTAGTGCTTTGGAATACAGCGAACAGAAGCAAACAATCAAAAGCACAGATTCTCACATTGATAAAAATACGTATAATCATGCGTCTATGATATAGACGTAAGAGAAATGAAAAGAGAAGGATGACATTACAGGGAGATGCGGAATATAGTCGGTTAAATGAGGCACATCTTCAAGCACATAACCAGCAACACCATTCACTATTTTAATCTTCGAAACTCCATCCATCTCTGATCTCTTTTATGGGTGCTTGAAGAAGAAGAGGTGGCAGAAAGAAAGAATAGCATAGTAAGAACTAAGAAGTAGCTTTTCTAGCTTGCGTTTGTGAAGGGGGTGTGTGTGTGTATAAGTAACGTCGTGTGTGTCGGGGGATTTTAGTGGGCGGGGGTATTGCGAAACAGGTGGCGTGTGTTTTCAGGAATCATTTGATAAGACAGGACGCCACCTGGTTTTGTAATGGGTTTAGCAGGGATGGTTTTGGTGTCTTGTCGTTCTAAACCAAATGGGAATTCACTTGGTTCTTTAACTGATGGTCGGGGGTTTTATCATTTTTCATCGTGAATTTTTTTTATTATCCAGTTGAATGGTGGTATTTTTATAATTAAATAAATATAAATATTATTAAAAATATATAGTTGACATGTTAATTGCACTCGTTAGCACCTGAATACAATTGACACCATTTGAACCAGGCGTGTTAAGTGATGGCTTTTAGAGTTGCGATTAAATCATCTCGCCAAACCCTCCATTTTCGGGCGGTACATGGGGCGTGTGGATTTCTAGTTTATTATTATTCTTTTAACTCTCTTTAATTTTAGCGCTTAAACCTCGGTGCTTTGAAAACAAGCCTTTAATTTATTTAAATTTTATTAATTAATATTAATGTAATTAAAAAATAAGTTTCTTAGCTAAAGAAAGTTAGATGTAAGATTTCATCAATTACGAGTTTAGAATATTAATAATAAAAATTTTAAAAATTTATAGAGGTCGCTTTATTTAAAAAAAAACTATATTTTTTTAATTTTATTTTTTAAGTCTTCGCTTTATTTAAAAAAAAAACTATATTTTTTTAGTTTTATTTTTTAATATATATATATATATAATTAAAAATTGAGCTTTATTTTTTTTATATAGAATTTTTCATTAAATTTAAAAATAATTTAGCTTTATATAAAATTTTTCATTAAATTTAAAAATAATTTAGATCGTTTCAGTTTCTCGAGCCTTTTTTAATGTCATTCTTTATTAAATTTATTTTTTTAAAGAATTTTATTAAATTAAGTTAAATTAATTGGTTAGATATAAGAAATACTAACTTCATAATATTTTATTTTATTTAATTTATAGGTTGTTGCTTCGATGATTTGTAATGTCTATCTAGTATCCACAATAAAATGAAAATAAATCTCCAACAAAATCTTTATTTTTCTTCTTATAAATATGATATTGCAAACTCATTTTTTATAGTTAATTATTACTAATTTTTTTTATTTTATTTATTGTTAATGTTTTTAAATCATGTTATTAAGTTAATCGATATTATTGAATCCAATAAAGTAAATGACTCATGTTTTAAGTTTTTTATTTTATTTTTTAAAATATTAATATTGCTTAAATATTTTTTTATGTTGGAAAAGATTTAACTGTGGTGTAACACTAGCACCCATCTAGTTAATTAATACATTATTCTATCTACATAAATTCTTTATGTATCATATATTTTTTTTTATGTATCATATATTGATAATACTTGTGGTGTAGTGCATATTAATAAGAATAAAATGAAAACAATGATAAATATGAGTTTAATTGTCAAATTTAGCATATAATTTGGTGCCTATGACTAAGATCTCAAGTTTTTCACAACTATTCATTTTGATATGTGGTCTTCTGAATGTAAAAATTCATGTTTGAAATTTTTATTCTGGATGACTTTTCTTTTTCTATTGTTACATGTATTTGATACATAAAAAAATATATGAATTTCTTGAAAGCTTTCCAGTCTATAAACATAAAGTTAAAAATCAATTAGAACATAGCATGATTTATTATTATTATTAGTATTATTATTATTATTATGGATAATATATATTTGAGTTGTTCAATAATATTTGGACAATATATATTTGAGTTGTTCAATAATATTTTAAATCATATTTAAAAAACTATATTCATCTAAAAAATTAAATTATCAAATACAATTCTAACAATGATTCTATAACAACTTTAACATATCTCTAAAGTAAAAAGTCTTTGGATTATGAACAAAAAAAGAGACCAGACTTTAACAATTAAGAAGTTCAAGACTCGTCCATCCGCATATTCATCCCATTGTATAAAAGAGTTACATTGTATAAAAAATAAAAAATAAAAAGAGTTACATTAGATAGTGACACTTTGAGATGCATCCCATTGTATAAAAGAGTTAAATTAGACAGTGACGCCTTGAGATGCTAGAATTTTAGAGGAGCAACTTGGAAATTCATAAATTATTTGAAATTACTAAAAGGCTGAGTTAATGATAAAAAAAAATGAAATATATTTTAATATAAGATTTTGGCTTTACCCTTCGAAATATATGTATGATGCATTTGGTAGAATCCATCGAGGAAAAAAAACATTTTTTAAAGTTAAGAAATCACTTTATTTTCTTTAATAAAGGATAAATAAAAGATACTTTAAGTATTAACAAAGTTTTATCATTATCTGAATTAATAAATGAAAACATGTAAAGAAATAAATATATTCCATAATAAAAAATTATACACAAGCTAATATGGATATAGTGTGTGTAGTATTATAGTAATCTATATGGTTATTATTTAAAAAATGAGAAAAAAACTATTTTTTAAAGTTAAAAAATCACTTTATTTTCTTTAATAAAGTATAAATAAAAGATACTTTAAACATTAACAAAGCTTTGTCATTATCTCAATTAATAAATGAAAACATGTAAATAAATAAACATATTTTATAATAAAATATTATACACAAACTAATATGAATCTAGTACATATTTGGTATTATAGTAATTTATATGATTATGATTTAAAAAAATAAGTTTAAGAAAAATTATAAATTATAGTTTTTTAACCAAGATTTCAAAAAAATGTTTTTAGTAAAATTTATACAAGATTATTATTATTATTATTATATAGAGAGAGACTAACCGAGTACTTTTTTAGAATTTATAACCAAGAAAAAACACATATTGCACCAAGAACAGGAAAACAAATGAGTACTCACCTAAGAATAGAAAAGCAACAGGTTGTGAATGGATTTTTTTTAAAAAAAAAACTCATGATGATTCAATTGATAAAAAAAAAAAAAACTCATGATGATTCAATTGATAATTGTAAAGCTACATTAATTGCTAGAGGATTTATACAAGGGCCTATCATAGACATTAATTAGTGGATAAAATTACTTCTATAAGAATTATAATATATATTGTTGTTTCATTAGGTTTAAAAATATTTCAGGTGAATGTCAAAATATCATTCTTGAATGGTGGATTGAAAAAAAAGTTATTCATCAGGCTGTAGAGTTGAAGATAAGGTCTGTAAGACAGGTAGCTTAAAAATATATATCTATAATCTCAAACATTTGGCAATATAATGGTAATGTACTTTCCATAACCTACAATAAAATTTGGTTTTATAGCTTATAAATTTGATTTTTGTATTTGTCATTCAAGCAACGAAGGTAGTTTAAATTTTTTACTAGTGACAATATCTTATTATTGATAAAGATGCTGTATATATTTTAAAATTAAATATTTTTTTTAATTTTATTTATTAAAAATTAATATTTATAATTTATTATAATTTTTTTATAAAATTATTATAATCTTATAAATCATATTATAAGTTTGGTCAGCACATATGAATTCATTAATTTATCGCCGCAATACTTGAAAGGATAATTGTCTAGTATGCATTATATTTTAAATTCATGATTAATTTAAAACAAGTTAATAATGTTTGATTTTTTATATATATATTTGAAAAAAAATTGACCCGTAAAAACTATATACAGTGGTAGCATGATATCATCTAATAAATTTTAAATCGAAATTTAAATTAAAAACAATAGAAGATAATATAGGATATGTATTTGAACCGATGGTCATACGTGGCCAAAGGAAATGAAAGTAAGTGGCGAGTTTGTTAAAAAACCAAAAGTCCTTGATTTATTTTTTTTAATACATAACCCATTAACCATTTCGTTTCAACCCATAGAAACATTTAACAAATTTTAATATAAATAGCTGCCGCCCCCCGATAAATCTGCTGGAGTTAACTGTTTTGGAAATCATATCCAAATGAACAACAGCCCATCATGTGACGCACTATGGGCACTGTAAAAATCCAGTTAATAAAATATTAACTTGAAAATAGATTGTTAAATTAAATTAAAGATACAGAGTTAAGATAATAAAGGATAAAATTAAAAGAAATAAAAAATATATATATACCAGATGTTGCTAAAAACAAAAGTTGTAAAAAAAGATAAATAAAATTATACATAATTAATTAACTTTACAAAAATAAAATCCAAAGAGATAAAGCTTGGAGCTTGAAAGGAGAGATAAGTTGAAAACCAAGAGGGTTGAGAGAAAATTATTATTGAAACTGCACGGGGCTCACCAAAAACTACAACGAACATAACTATTTTTCTTGTTTCTAAAATTTGATTTCTACTGATAATATTCTTAGTAAGGAGGTTTAAAAATATTTCAAGTACGCTAGGAATAAAATTTATATGTTAAATAAACAGTGAAATTCTTGATTCTAGTAATTAATATTTTTTTAATTAAAGTAGCTAATAATTTATAGCTTGTATTTAATATCTGGCAGGTTAAGATAACTAGTATTTATAAAATAATTTTTTATATAAATTTAGAGATTATCGGATGTTTAAATAATTTTTTTAATATATAAAAAGTGTAATGATATTTTAAAAAAATAAACTCTAAAAAATATATATACTAAAAATATTAAAAATAAATATATTATGAATATAAAAATTGAAATATGCATGGAATATTTATAGTTCAACGGTATTCAAAAATTAATTAATTTATAACTCAAAAGATAGCACATCATACACCTAAAAATTAAGCCCTCGGCAAACATATAATATATCACCTTTTGTTTCAAATATTAATTGGAGTTTTATTATAAATTCTATATGATAAATCCAAATTTAATAAGCTTAAAACCCCTCACAATTCTAAAAAATAAGTTTAAATACTGTTTGAATTCAATAACTAAGAGCTTTGAGTATCGTGTTTAGATCTATTTTTCACCTCTATCGAGCTAAAACAACTCATCTAAGTTTGGCATTCTTTTAATAATTTTTTGAAATCTTCATGTAGGTACCTTAATATGTTTTACAATTCAACAAGTATTAATTTGAACGAAATAT